AAAAAGTCACTATAGAACCTAACAGAAGAAACATTTCCAGTTACATGTGACGCCCAAACGCACCAATAGCTACCGCATGGAATGCAGGTGATGCTTGGGATCATCATGGCGGTCCAACCCAAGATTTGCACGACTCTGACTTTGAATGTTACAGTCATTGTGGCATTGAATTCCAGGGTGGAAACATCAGTTTAATTGTTTTAGTGACCAGAAAACAAATTTTGATATGCGTCGGCTTACCCAAAATGAAAGGTTACGTGCCCTTGGCATGCTACAGATCGGCACAACACAGGCGGTTGTGGCGCGGACGATGAATGTTTCTCAGTCTGTCATAAGCAGGCTATGGTCCAGATACCGTGATACACAATCTGTACAGGACAGACCAAGCTCAGGTCGACCAAGGGCGACAACTCAAGCCCAGGATCGATTTATCCGTACCTTGGCCTTGAGAAATCGTGTCATCACAGCAAATCAGATCAGCGCTCGTCTTCAAACAGACACTGGTGTGAGAGTGAGTGGCCAGACGATTCGGAATCGACTGCATAGGGGTCACCTTCATGCCCGACGTCCTCGCGTGATCCCTTGTTTGAGAGATCATCACATTCAGGCAAGACGTCGTTGGTGTAGGGATCGTCAACACTGGGATAATCGACGCTGGAGCAATGTGATGTTTTCAGATGAGTCAAGGTTCACTGTTGATTTTTTGGACAGACGTAGGAGGGTGTGGCGTCGTCGAAACGAGCGCTTCCAAGACGTTAACGTCATCAGACATGATCGATTTGGGGGTGGTTCTGTTATGGTGTGGGGAGGCATCACTGTTGCTGGAAGAACGGCTTTACATGTTGTTGCAGGGCATGTTACAGGCCAGTACTACCGGGACAACATCTTTGCAGTCCATGTTGTGCCGTTCGCACGACGTCATGGCCGCCGTTTTCATCTTCCAGGATGACAACGCAAGATGTCACAGGGCCAGGATCGTTACAGGTTACCTCCAACAACAGAACATCACCACATTACCTTGGACAGAGGTTACGTCAACGTCAACAACGTCCTGCCAATGTACAAGAACTTGCTGCTGCGTTGCAACAGGAATGGGACAATCTGGACCAAAATGACCTTAGACGTCTCATTAGGAGTATGCCACGTCGGATCAATGCTTGTTTGGCAAACAGAGGAGGATTTACCCGTTACTGACTTGGTTGTGATGCTGTGGTAACTTTGCTGTTTGGGTATCATTTTACCCTTATAATGGTCAGTCTGTGCCTTACTTAGTCTAACGATCATTTGGAATAAATCGATGAATGTGAACTTCATTTCATTTTGTCATTTGTTTCTTCGTCAGTTTCATTAGGTGACTTTAATAACACTTAAAAAAATCAAATATCCCCTACTTTTTTTGAATAGTATATTAAATGATATTACATTTCCTTCTTTTGCAACCATTAACTAGTTAGTTAAATTACATTGTCAAATACATGTATTATATTCAAATTAACCATTCAAATTAACCACAAACTCACCAGTACTGGGTTATTATTTTGCAATTAGCATTTGCTGAGATCCTTGAAAATCATTAAAAGATATCAAAGACTTGACATTTGAACCTAAATCATTTCCATTACACAATGAAAGTAGAGACCTCAAAGAATTTAGCTTACAATGCAATTCAAATGTATGTTCGTAAACAATCTAAAGGTAGGAAAGAAATTACCAATTGGTAATAATCTCTTATGTGACAGTTCCACTGTAATTCTTGCTGCCAATATGTCATATTTAATGTTATTGGTTCTTGATAAGAATGACTGAGTACAGAAAGTAATGAATAATGATTTTTTTTATTTAATACTTATGTAGGTAGTATTGACTTTCTAAATTATTTATTCAATGTCTGAATATAAAATATAGATAAAATATAGGTAACAAGAAGACTCTGGTCATCAACATCTCACGCACTTGGGACATATTTAGGACGGTAAATACACATATTAATCAATTGCACATTTATCGTTTTGTAAAGTATCGAGCAATCAAAGTTATTATCTACCGGTACACCTAAGTCTGAGCAGAAAATGCTCATGATTGAATTTAGTCAAGTTTTTATGTTCATAGTTGAACTATACACAAAGTTTCATAACTCTTTCCATTAGAATACCAGTTCATGTTCCAAAATGGCCATAATTGTTAATCTTTGATTTTGAATAAATTTAGTTTAGGAGAAAAATGTGCAAAAATGTCTGAATTTGACCTTTTAAGGTGCCAATGCCAACTTCCATTGAACATATCACCATCAAAACAACATACCTACCATGCGGTTGATAAAAGGCGACGATGATATACGCCCACATGAAAATGTGAATTGTGTTAGGGTCAAAAACCACTGGTTCTCGCCTGTTGTATAAATTTCTTGTAGCAAGAACAAAACTCATAAATAACATAATCATCACAGAAAAACATAATATAATCAATGCATATATGATGTGACAAAAAATCTCGTCTTCGCAAGTATTGAATATTTAACAGGATATATATATATATATATATATATTATATATGTAATAATCCCAATACATCCTTGCAAACACAGGGTACAATTTTATGGATACACAATTACCGAGTTTGATACTAAGCAACATTTCGACGAGGATACTCTCGTCTTTATCAAGCAAATGATACAGGTATGTGAATAGTAGGCAAATATATACAGTAATTGTGTATCTAACTGTGTTAATATCTTCAATTACTAAATGCCAAACAAAGAAAACATCCTTGCAAGTTGTCAAATATGAATGAAAGATCTAATAATTAGTCTGGCCATCAAAAAACAAATCTGAAGTGAGGTGTCAATGAATGGATGGATTAAGGACAATAGGTGACTTTTTACTGAACTGGAAAATTTTATTGTAACATTAAATTGTACATGATCCAATTACTAAAGAGTTCAACCATTTTTTCTTCAAATAAACAAAAACAGCAATATTTAAGGTTTTCTAACACTAATCATTAATAAATGGATACACAACAAAAAAAACCTAGAAATTATAACCAATTAGTTTAATTAAATGTTTTTCTTCAAGGTTAAAACAGAAATTATTGTCACTTTTGCAAAACACAAATCCTTTTAAAAGATCAATGGGATATAAATGCAGAATATCAAAACATTCTATACATTTCAATCAAAATACAATAATCATATTGACAAACATGTTCTTTAAATCAAATACCACAAGAAAATATTAAAATTTGCCCTGGGTTGGTTTTTGTGGAAAATGAAATATAAATTTTAACGACATGAATCAATTTAGAGACAAATCAATATCTCTAATAAAACTCAAATAATTTGTGTATTTCAGTTTATCTACCCCATGCCTTATTCATGAATTTTAATTAATGTAGTGATTGATTTACAATACGATTGATCCCTTCAAATGAGATGTAATGCCATGAAGTTCATCTTGCTATATTTAGATGAGAATTTTTACTATTTTCAGATAAAAAACTAAAAATGAGCCATTTCATTTTAAAATTTTTACCATCAAAATGTTAGACCCCCCCCCCCACATCACATGATTTTAAAACAATTCCAATCTGATTTATTTACTGTTTAATGGAAATTCACACCCTGGAACTACAAAGTTATATGTACGAAAAATGCATCAAAAGTATTCGAAGGACAACATATCTGATAACCTTTTGAATAGATAGTTTTCTGTTTAAAGCAAAGGCAAGAACACTCTGTCATCAACATCTTGCGTCATTTAACATGTTTTGGATGGTACCGAACAGGGAAAGACAATCTCGATGTTAAATTGGTTATCAACAACCAAATACTGGATGTGTACATGTACGAAAGATGTATAACAAATAGTATCAGGCATTCCTATTCCGCCATTTGGTTTATATTGTGGACATAAAATGAGTTCAATTACAAACTACCACCACTATTAGAATTACAGTATCAAAGTATCAAAAGACTGAAAAGTTATATGCTCTGTTGTAGATGTATGCAAGTTTGAACCCAAGTTTCACATAGCTTCATAAGCCTAACTTGAATGGAGTTTGAGATATACATTGGACTAAAATGCATAGAATAATAATTGTATATCAAATTATATCAACTCAGAATTATCAAAGGGTACAACATTTATGAACGTTTTCTAAATGATAGCAGGACAATACAGACTGTGTCAATTACAGTATAGAGCATAATTTTTCACTTTAACTTAAGCTGATAAACTTACATAACCTTATTGTAAATTGTCATGGTATATGTAAATGTATAATGTGAAGAAACACGTGTTGTGTAAATGTATTGCAAGATAATAATACAATAGTCTATGTTCGATATATTATGATAAAGTCAATGACCAATGAAATGACTATGAACTCCTATTATCATATCTTCATTTTTATCAAGTCTCTTACTGCTACTTGTTTTGTATGTTGAACGGCTTGTAGAAGCCTGGTGGAACCAATGAGTCTACTAAGTGATAGGAGTGTTTATGGATTGTGTGGGCACCAGTGCTATCTAAACCTAACGATACAAACCTAACACTTCACACTATTGGACCTCTAGTCATTGTGTATAGGTGTACGTTTACATATTCTCACATATTTATCAATGAAGGTAAGTAAAATTAATTTAGTTCTTACATTAATAGCGTGTACAACATGAATGTAAGTTGCACCGAAATATAAAAGTAAACTCAAATTACTTGTAAATTTGGTGTGGTCTTTAAATGCACCTTTTGGTCTAACTTTCATGAAATATTAACTGCTAAATAAAATCTAATTATTATTTGTTTAAGCAAAGTTTTTTAATACTTCATAAAGACAGTGAGAGAATTATAGTTTGGATGAACATTTAAGGAAAATGTTTAAATTCAATAGCAATTAATTACTTTCTTCTATTGATCAGTTAGGTGTTAGATTTGGATTCTTTAAAGCATTTCTTAAGGTACTTGAAAGTCTTCTTTTTTTATTTCAGTAGAAGAAAATACCAAGTTTGTGAAACGTGTTAATGGTAAGCTTGTCTTTTATTTCATTTCTCTATATTAGTTTAAACTGATAAAGATCTAATGTGTGTGGAATCATAAATACCTAGAACCATGAGATTTGCCTATTGATTGCCACCAAAGACATCAGATCTTAGATTTCTTTGAGAATTATCAGAGAATGAATGTAAATGAGAAAATGGATTTGCACAGTTCTTTGGCCTTTTCTTGCTGTAACAGATTTACTACAACAAATATGAATTCCAGCACGCAATTATTTAAACTATTTGATTTTTTATTATCGCAACTAGAACAAATAAAAAGATGCCATTATTGAGTTGCCAATATTTTAGGCTGAGCATATATTCTTCAACAATTTTGTAATAAGAATTTTTCAACTTTGTTGCTTACCACATTGTGTCTTCATTCTTATCTCTGGATTTAATATGTACTACAGATTTCAATTTACCACACTGGCATAAACAGGTTAATTCTCAATAACCAATTTTTTACCCATTAATGAGCAGAAACTCTTCATTAATTACTTAAATATTTTTCCATTATCACCCACATCAAATGGACGGAGTTAAATCTCTTCTTTCTCATACCTCTTCATCAGGAAAATAACTTTTAATTAGGTGACAGTGGGTTGTACTAAAGTCTTCTATGTGTAAAATAGACCTCAGCAGGTTGATTGGGTAGATTTTACAGAAACCTGGTGTAAAAAGGATGGGCATTATAAGAATCAAACAGATATGTCTTTTCTAGTATTTGGAGATATTGGAATATTACTACAATATCATAACTCATAACAGCATGTTTTCAGGGTTTAGTCATGATTTTTTGATACAAATCAGTAAAGTAATGGCATATCTGAAGATAAGAGGTTTAGTAATGAAGCTTTTTCAAGGAGTTCCTTTTGTACTTGGTCAAAGAGTTCACAGCATAAATTATGAATTATATTAAAGATATTGTAGATATAATTTCAAGGAATTATGTAGAATTCTTATGGTACAATATTATATGTTTTTCAACAGAAGTAATACTAATACACCTATTCCATGAAGCAGAATTAACATTATAAACTTGGAAGTTAATGTTATTTGTTTACATTGAAGATATTTATTTTTCAGATAATTGCTGTTTTTTTAATGTTGATGGCCCAAAGGTTGACATTTTTCCAGATAATAACATCGGATGTAATAATGAGTTACCATTGTCGATCTAGATGAAAATAATACTGGGAGTATGAATCAAAGTTGGCGATACACCATGATGGTCGCTGCTAACTACACAATTGGTTGGGAACATAGCAATGATCACACACTCAGTTACAGGTCTCTGAATCTTAGCAAAGAAAACTTGACCATGGAACCTGCAGACACCTCAGATGTGAAATGGAGTTTAATTTCTTTAATAGGATTAATATTAATGACAGCAGTTGGAAACTTATTAGTTTGTTTAGCAGTGTGTTGGGAACGACGTCTTCAAAATATGACAAATTATTTTCTTATGTCTCTTGCTATTGCTGACTTTTTGGTGGCTATACTGGTTATGCCACTTGGAATGATTGTGGAAATATATGGTAAGTCATAAAACATGTAAATTGGCAAAAACAAAAATCAAATATAAAATTAGCTAAGTTCAGAAGTGAAAGAAAATTAGTATATTGACATCTTTGAATAAATATAAGATGTTATAGTAAAATTCATTATGAAACTTACATCTGTGAAGCAGAAAATGACTTCCTTCATGCTATCGAAGCCCAGTAAGAAATATTAAATTGTGTGATAAGTTTATGTTCCTTAAAATATTCATTATATTCTCCCTTTTGAAACTGGTGAGCAATACATTAATCCATGTTCACACTTACAGTTAAAAGGTTAAAAAAAGTTTAGTTTGCAAGCCCTTCAACAAAAACCACCTTGTTTTTTAAAGTTAAAAAGGTACCTCAAGGTTAATGCGATATCACCTCGGTGGAAGCGGACGTTAAATAAAACTAACTCACACACATTAATGGTACGTGCTTCAATCATTAAAGATCTTCAGAAAAAGACTCTACAAGAGCTTTGTTTTGCATGCTCTTTACATTTTTTTTTAACTTAAACGAACTTCAAGAAAAGGTGTGTCAATAATTTCAGATCTTCCAAAAATGACAATATAATAGCTTGTGAAAAGTAACACTCTATAACAAACAATAGTTCATACATTTCTAAAAAAACCCCCAAAAAACTCAGTAATTATTTATAAATGTGTCATTTTTATACTGGAACATTTTGAATTGATCACATAAATTATTACCAAGTTTAAATTGGATTAATTTTAAAAAATGACCACTATTAATTTAATGATTTGACATTTTTCGTAAATTCTGAATTGATATTGTTTATTATAATATTAAGTTTAATGAAGGTTTTTTGGAGCCAGTCATTGTGGTTCTTTATATTACATAATTTCAAAAGATACATAAAAAAAAACCATTTTGTTAAACATTCTGAGAATAATGCTGAATCAATACATGTCCCCAACAGACCCATACAAATTCCAGTGCTAGGGTGCACCATCCTAAAAACATATCTCCAAATATCCCGACAATATATATATAAATGGTCATAGCTAATTATTAAGTACAACATGACCGTATATTTAGTGACTATAAATGTGTGGAACCGATTTAAGGCTTGGTATCTATATAGATAGATAGATATATAGATACCAAGCCTTAAATCAGTTTCGCACATTTATAGTCACTAAATAAATGGTCATGTTGTACTTAATAAGCTATGACCATTTAACCATCAATAAATAATAGACTGAAAAATGGTTACAAGTGTTGACCATAACATCTGGGCACTTTTGAGTAAAAAATAAGTTAAATGCCCTTGTTTTGAAATTAGTCTCGCTTAACCAGTCTACCGGCCATTCTCTGTCTGAGTGACAGGCCGGGATAATCAAAACTACTTTTTTTCATGAAACCTAACAGAAAGCTGGAACAAGAAACTGAATTTAGAAACACTCACGTTAGGCAACTCAACAATTGTTTTAAGAACCTTGTAAAAGTAAAATGAAACTACTGCTAGTATCAATGCATTATGTTCTTGCTTAATCTGAGTGTTTCAAGGATATTATTTGTACTAAACCAACGGTATAGTTAATAATAAAGCAATTTAAAAATTAAGACAAACGTAATTTCTAAAGCTGAGATGTAATAACCTAAAAGCTAAATATAACTTCTATTCAGAAGCGTCAACAATGGATTTTTTACGGCTGTAATAGTTGATAGATGTGTAGAGAATTTCACGTACAATGGCTATTTATAGACTCTTGTACTGAGTGTTATCGCACCGCATGACTAGCCAGAAATCACTTCGAGACAAGCCACTGAAGCGTGCACATTCAGTAGGGAAAATTTTGGCGGCATTGGGGCAACCTATCAATGCATGCATCTACAATAGGCATACCGTGAATACATTTCTTTGAATATATAAATAATCCACATAGAATAAATTCTGTAAAATTGAACTTTTAGTGAATTGGTGTGTAAAACATTTTAATCAAATTTCTCAAAGTTTAACCTGGATCTGTAACTTCATCAAATACCTCAATGTTAAGACTAAAAAAATTCCTCTAAACAGAATTTTCACTGTTTTTTTTAATGAACAAAGGGCCAGGATGTGAATACTTGATCTGTTACTCTGCTATATACAGCAGAATGTCAACCTTAAATCAAATACCTTCAAGTTTTAACTGGAATTCCACGAAATATGAACTTTGATCTGCTATTCCACACCACATAGAACATTGGTGGTAGCTAATGGATTCTTTTTGGCATTTGGATTATAAATTGAATTGGCACTTTGTGTATTTGTTTTTTTTATCTGCTTTGTGTGTGTTGTTTTTTTTTCTTCCTGTATTGTTAAAGGCCTTAAGATTTACATTTGAATTTAAGTCACAGTTATTAAAGATACATTATGTAAAATTTAGATAAAGAGCTGGCTGTTCTTGCTATAATAGTTGAAAAATAGATAATACAGAATACATTGAAATTTCATTCAAATTACTTTATTCTGAGCAAAGATGTTAGCCTTTGAAGGTTTGGCAAGATGTGTGTACTGATTCAGTGATTGTAACCACCGTAATGACTTAGCCTCACTTCACCATTTTTAATTGATTAATGGCCAAATTGTTCTAAACTACTTAAAATCGGACATATCTGACGGCATCGAGTTGATTATGGTCTTGTAATGTTAATAAATGTCTAATTGATAGTTTATATAACATTTAAGGCCCAAAGAAAGACCCGCAATAGACAGATTTAGCTCTTGCATAATGTCTGTTGTTTAAAGTAAGCTGGATGTCACGGCATATCAAATTACATATCTATATGAAGGGAAACAAGTATTGCTGGGATATGTCCATGATTTGTCTTTAAGATGTAATTGGGATCTGGTTTACTTTCAAAAGCCTATCTATCATAAGTAATCTTATAGTGATGTCTCTTTAAAAACTTCTACAGAATCAATTTATAGTTCAACTAATCTCAAGTCTAGACATGTAATGGATAATAGTTAAGACAATAAAAAGATATGTTACCAAATAAGTAAAATGTGTACATAAATAAACAGACAGTATAGTAATGGGATCTCTAAAATCTCAGGCAATACCTTCACATAGAATGATGCACATTTGGAAAAGTAAACATGTAAAATTCAATGCATCAATTAATATAAATAGAAATTAGAATAAATAATTAGGCGCCATTCATTTATGGGTATCAAAAGATGTTTTTTATGGTGCAACAGGCAGAATGTGCAATTTGGTTTAAAGAAACATCTAATAAATGTTCAGATGGTGTTTTTTTTTTTCTTTTGATTTTATGCAATTGGATTTAGTTTCTTGAAAGAGAGTAGTCAAAGTACCAGCACTTATATGCTTATGGTAAATCAAAAAAATAAAAAATATGTTCATTTATTTAAGAAAATCAACCACTTTCACTTTTTCGTTCTGTTAGACATTAAATCATAAGCAAGCAAAATATATAAAAATTTGATATTTTTACAATAATGTTGACATTATAGGGGATAATATTTCACAATACATGCAAATTTGGTGTTTCTCTTTGAAACCTCAAGAAATTTTTGATAATTTTGTGCAGTGCCAATAGAATCTATACAATAATGAGTTAGATAATTAAATTAAAAATCAATTACAGTTTTGTTCTTACAGTCTAATGAGAATTAAAATAGATGCTCAATAATCAGCCTAATGTATTTACGTATTTAAAGTGTAATTGACTGATGTTCAAAAATAACATCATCACTGTAGTAATCTGAAGTTCTATACTTTATTAGTTCTAGGCTCTGGCTGTCAGTATTGACAAAATATAATTAAGTCAAATTCAAGACCTGGAGTAATTCATCTTGGATATATGTCTGACTTTCAAACTATGAAATTAAATTAATAATAGATACAAAATTCAAATAAGGTTATGTTACAGTTAAACTTGTTCAGGACTGTTGTTCTTAGGAAATAAATATATCAAGGATATTTGGCAAGATCTAAACCTTTCACCATAGCTAAGACGTTTGATTCTGCACACATGTTTTTGGGGCAGCAGAACCATGACAGGACTCAATTCTGTTTCCCTCCATTGCAATTCTGTTAATTCAAGCACTTATGTAGTATTAGTAGTACAATTTACCAATTCTTGTTGGGGTTTCTGTTGATCAATAAATCATAATGTAGTCAGTCCCCCATTAGTATTTTAATGAAAAGTATTTGTGTCTGTCTTACACTTTTTCTGTAAAAACTGTCCCAATATTTAAGCTTACAGATAAGAACGGGTTCTGGAGTAGACTATATATGGAGAATAATTTTGTTTCCCGGGTGATGGGTAAAGAAGTGATATCAAACATACTTGAATAAGAACAATTTTTGTGGAACTTAGTGACTGAATGAAACCAAAATGATTTATGAACAAATCATGTTTGGTTCATAAGCAATATAATTAATTATTACAGATGGTATAATGAAAACAAAGCTAAATGAAGAAATTGAAGAATGCCTTAACATGGAGAGATGTTAAAGGTGCATTATGAAAGATTCAGATAAAGACCTCTCAGTTTTTGCAATAATAGTTTTAATAAATTGAATATATTGATAATTTCATTCAAGTTACTTTATCATGAGCAGTTGTCATTGTTTGAAGCATTGTTTGTTTATTATCATACTAACGGTACTTGACAAATCAAGACTAAGTTTTTTTATTCATTTTCAAATCAAATTATTTAATGGCGATCTTGTTTCAATCCATTTAAATATCATCCATCAAATAGTTTAGAGAGTTGAATATAGGCTTGTCATATGAATAAATCTCTAAATAATAGTTTATATAACATTTAAACCAAGAATGTTGAAACTTCATTATTGAAATCTTTATGAATGAAAACTTACTCTAGTACTGGCCTGGATCATGACTTTTGTATAATTCTAGTTGATTGTGTTATGATTATACGTGTTAATACAGATTGATTGTAGACAATAAATATAGCAATTATTAATAGAATAAGATCACAACACCTGTGG